AGGTGCTGAACTTCGGCATGATCGTCTCGTCCGCCCTCATGATCTGGAAGGGGCTGATGGTGGTGACGGGCAGCGAGAGCCCCATCGTGGTGGTGCTGAGGTAAATCCCGTGGTGGAAGGCGTTAAACGGGGGCTGCTGTGGTGGGTGAGGGCTGGGGATCCGGCGCCAGGGCCGGCGGCCCACCCGCGGCAGGGTTTCCAGAGGGATGGGGCGAGAGGCTCCCGGGGACTCGTGCCGCGGTGTGAGGGAAGGAGAAGGGCGAGGGAAGAGGAAGCAGGGGAACGGGGATGGCCGCCTGCTGTAGAGACGGCATCTTGGCCTCCTGCCTTTGTTGCCTGCTGGCTTGGGGGTAGAGGGGTGGCCCTGGGGAAGGACTTGAAAGAAGCATGGTGAGAGTACAACCCGGGCGTTTCTGGGTTTCGGTAAACCAGGAGGAGTGCTTGGCCGTATGGGTGAGGGAGGCATGAAGAAGGGAGGCCTTGAAGCAGGGATGGGCACAATGGTGAACCCTTTCCTTGGGCAGAGCATCCCAGAGCAAAAGCAGTTTGTGGCAGAGCTCACCCCGCCACGGCTAAATGGTGCTTTCCATAGCAGAAGCTGGGGTAGCAGGACATGGCAGGGCACTGCCGCCTCCAACAGCGTCTGTCTGTGGGTCACCTTGCTGCTCCGTGACCAGCTGAATTATGTGGTGGGTCCTGGTTAGTGGAAATCTTTGATATGCCAGCAAACCTGTATAGTGAAAAGGACTTGTTCGGTGTTTTTAAATGGGAACTGGCTTGCTGAAATGCCCATTGGGTGGTGTTATGTGTTACCCTGCATCCTTAAAAGTATCCGCTAACTCTTCTTTCACAGCTGCTTGTTTTTTATCCCTGGCCTTCTAGAGTGTGGTAACATGGCCAGGAGAAGGGGAGCTGTACCCATGCCCTTTTATATGCATGGCTGAAACTAAAGGATCCCGCTCTGTAACTGGGTCTGTTGTAGGTGTTGCCCTGGCAGAAGAGCTGTGCAGGAGGTACCACCAGAGTCACTCTCCTCTTCTAGTGCCTGCGACAAATTCCTGTGGCCAAAGATCTTGGGAAGCCGTCAGATGCTGGCGCTGTCAGACACCATGCAGATACTGCACTGGGCCTGTTCTGTGGCTGCGCTGGTCTTTCTGTGCATTTCTACGTCAGTGCTAATTACCACATGCCATTTAACAGAACTCCCAGAAACAAAGCCGAGTGGCATTTCTGTTCCCTCCTGACGGGTCTGTGAAGTCCAGGGAAGATGTTTCACACTGTTCTTCCCTGTGAGTAAGACAGGGGCCGTCGGGTTACGTCCTTTCTTCAGCGATGTGATCTTCTGTTCTGAATAGCAGCTGCTGTGCTGTCTCAAGATAAAACATGAATATGTGCAGTGCTTAAAGTTCATCATTTTGTTTTGTACTGCATTATTTATTTGGAATTGAGAAGGTTAAGTATTTTGTAACAATTGCCATTTACAAGACAGGAGGAAAATAACTTGAATAGCAGTGCCTGAAATGAGATCGTTAAGCAAAGCAATGAATCACAACAACAAATTTTTAGCTCACCCGTCTGTCTGTTCCAGATGGGAACACAAGGGCCTGTGTGCTTTCAGTGTTTTGTTCATGAGGATGATCCATCTACCTGCGAAAAATAAAAATAAATGAAATAAAGCTTCCCACCACTGCAGTGCTGCCAAGGTAGCCCTACCAATGGAGAAGCTGAGAAGATACTGCTTGTTGTGAGCCTTGTTGTTATGAAGAGAGCGGGAAGTGGGAGAGAGTGTGCTTTGGTGTGCCTTTAGCACAGTGGCAGTGCTCTTTTGCTAGCAAATCTGAACAATCACTGTGGTGATCGAAAATGTGAATGCAGTAGAGGTTAGACAAATTCTTGGTCTCCAAATCCACGTGGCTTTCGTAGGAGCTTTTAATTGGGAGATTTTTCTTAAAAGACTGTGAACTCTGAAACCCGCTTCTGGGTTTTTAAATATTGTTCAATTTCTTCTCCTCTCTTTTTCAGTGGAAGCATGGAGCCTGCGTTTCACAGAGGAGATCTCCTGTTCCTCACTAACCGAATTGAAGATCCGATCAGAGTGGGAGAAATCGTGGTCTTTAGGATAGAAGGAAGGGAAATTCCTATAGTCCACCGTGTCCTGAAGATTCATGAGAAGTATGTCAAGAATTTGGGGGATCGTACTGCAGATGTTTAGCTAAATTGTATTATTCCTCATCATCTTGGGTAAACGAATGGGTGGTACATCAGTAATATGAGTATCCAGGTGCTGTACAGGTGTACAACACAGAAGTTTCTGACAGACGAAATCTGCCCTCTTTGGTTTACTCATAAAGATCACCCAGCAGAATTCACAAGCTCAGGAGTCTGTGCTGGTATCCTGGACTGCCCACGTCACTTAATGTCTCCTGTGCCATCGTTTCCATCCCAGACTGCTATGTGATGTTGCTGTGTTGTCTGCTATAGGTACGGCTGTGTCTGTGTGTGTGAAGTGACTCTTGTTTGGAGAGGTAGATCTTAGGGAATAAGGGTATTTTGTTTCTGGCATGCATTATTTTAAAGCTTGTCTCTATGCTCCTGGTTCCTGCTCTCACTCAGAGGCAGGTTGTTTTGTTTCTTTTCTTCTCTGGAGGAAGTTCTGCCTTGTTACACTCAGAGTCTCTAGATGCGCCATGCTTTGTGTGCAGTTCATTCTGCGGACACTTTGCATGACTGAGGTTGCACAACTGAGACATGGTCACTCTGGTTTGGTGTTTAACAGGGTTTAGTTTTCCAAGCAACGCATCTTCTGCAGCCGTGAGCCTTCCTGTTTTGCTGGTTGAGGAAGATGCAACTACTCCGGGCCAGTCTGTGCGGATACGAGCCAGGCCCTTGAGGCATTTGAGTCAAAACTAAATCTTGGACTGAATCCCTGGTTCTTCAAGCCAGCTCTGAGGAGGGCAACAGTCAGATGGGGTCCCAGAATCTGTTTCTGCTCAGTAGATGCCTGCTGCAATGTGAACAAACTGGAGCTGTACCAGGGCTCAGAGATCTGTTCCTAAGTTAAGTGAATCACTTGAATTGGATGTAAAGGTGGCGTTTAGGATTGCTCTGGTCAGGTGAGATCCATGGGATAGAGAGGATCCCTTGTCCCAGGCATTG